TTCCCTCAACTCTTACAATTTCCCTCCACTCTTACAATTTCTTGAAGAAATCCTCACAATTGTTACACACTAATGGAACCTCTCTAACCTCTAGGCCTCCAGAGTCCTTTCCGCTCTCTTCAATTTTCGGCCAAAATATTCTTTTAAAGTTGTGGATGAGCTTTCCTAAGAGTTGCCTAAGCATTCCTTCAAAATTTGGCCTTATCCAAAGCCTGATTGGGCATAACCGTCGAGCTCGCCGTCGGCGGCCTCGAGGGCGCCGTCGGCTGACCTTCTTAATGAATTAATTCTGGAGTCTCGGGAAAATCTCGCCGTCGGTGCCCTAGTTCAATTCTTCACATTTTGGTAATTTTTGCTCCAAATTTGCATCTTTTTACATCTTTTTGCTCCAATGACCCTAATTCATCATTCTTGCAACAAAACATCTAAAATACCTTTCTTTAAAGTGCACCTTTCTTTAAAGTTAAAGTGCAATATCATCAAAAACAGTATAAAATAGGTATGAAAATCTCAACATATTTTTCTCTGGTCATTGACTGACTAGATCTTGAGCCTGAGCTGATTCATCTTCAAGTCGAGCGACATGTGTGCAATATTTTTCAACACTTTTGGCAAGCAAAGAACTTTGTGTAATCAAATGAATGTGATAAGCATTTAAGAAGCTGAAAAACTCCTTGGTGTCACCATTGCTTCTTCATAGGCCAAAGTTGAGAGAAAAGCTATCTCTGTACTTAAGGGGTTAGAGCTAAAGCCACCAGCTCAATATTAGTTTGATAAGAGTCGAGGAAGCGGTTCTCTGTCCAATATATCAGTTGATTCCTTTGAGGTGTCGAGCTCAGGTACCACATTTTGGAGAAACTAATGTTTGTCCTTGTTGTTTCCACTTGCATGCTTTGACCATAATTCCAGACACACTCAATCAAGTTCACCACTGATCATTGACGCAAGCTCGTCTTTGCCCAGCCGAAGCATTTTGATTATTTCCTCAAAGAGTGGCAGATCTGGGTGAGTTTGACATTTTATGTGTGCATTGGACAATGATTAAAACATAGGCCATAGCTGATTACTTATGTTTTTTTGAACCAAGTGAGCTAAACAAAGCATCAACTATAGACGACTAGACATGATGAAGTTTTAAGCCAAACCGGAGTGGAGCTCGATCTTGCCTTAACTAGTTTGATTGAGAAACCCCAGTACCATTTGGTAGGAGTTGAATTTGAGGTCACCAAAAACCACATATGAAGCATTAATTTTCAACTATATTTTGCTTATAAGATGGGCTCTCGACATATCCATGTAAAATTTGACTCAAAGCTTATTCTAAATTAAGTAAATGAAGTAATTTGAGGTTCGAGATGATATGATGGCTAAGTACTCGGGCAAAGCAAAGTTGGAGATTGAAAAGTTTGAATGATTTAAAACTGAGCACATCATCTGGGAGGATAATTAAGTAGTAGACCTTTGTTCCTATTGCATCTGCTTGGGTGAAGGGATGGCCCAAAGACTTATCCAACCGACTATTAAAGAGGCCAAGATAATGAAACTGGAAGTTGAATGGCCAATTAGCTGGGTTAACCTCTACATCTTGTTTCTTAAGACTGAGAAGATATCAGAGGACGTTGCCAACCTGAGAAGATTCTAAATAAAGTCTTCCCAATATCTCTTGATCGAATAAAAGCTGTCAGTTATGTCGTTATACCGATGATGTAAAAAATAAAATGATGCATAAGAGGTAATTCATGAGGTGAGCTCAAGGGAATGCAGGGCCATTACGGAGGAATGACTTTGACTTACCGGGTACAATGGCAGGGTTACTTCTAACTAATAGTTTTGAAAGATACTGAGGAGTTTTCCAGAAAGTGCGAGCAATGACATAAGTATGCACCACTTCAACACTAGCCTACACACAAGTTGCAACTCAATGTCAGACCACAACCCTTCACGCTCAAGGTACGGGACATTATCGGACCCTTTCCCTTATCGCGATGCCTACAAAAATTCTTCCTAATTACAATAGATTAATTTCCCAAATGGATCAAAGTCAAGACTCTTGCTCGGATCATGATGAAGGCCAACTAAAATTTCATTTGGATGATCCTAACCTATCTTTATAAACAACCGTTGGTTATCATCACCAATAACGAGATGCAGTTTGTTGACCAAGGAGTAAAGAACTTCTGCTAAAACCATATAATTAGTTTGAATTTGTATATGTGCGTCATCCTCAAATGAATGTATAAGCAAAGAAAGCCAATAAAAACATTTTGAACATGCTGAGGAAAAATATTGAAAAAGCTAAGGGGAACTGGGTAGAGGTTTTCCTGTCTGTTCTTTGGACATTTCAAGCTACACCTTCCACGGTGATTGGGCAGACCCCTTTCATGCTGTCACATGGGATGGAAGCAATATTATCAATTGAGTACAATCATCACAGTTAGAGAGTGACAATTGTTATTTAAATGGGTGAACCATATCCGGTGAGAGGAGAGCTAAGCAACACCTATGAAAAATGCATAAGTATGAATCATTACATTCCCTCCCTGTCAGTCACGGCTCCTTGCAAGAAAATCGCCTTTAACATATTAGAGCGTAAGTCTCACAGCTTAGTAAACACATAAAAAAACCAAAAAAAGTGATGCATGTCTAGAACAACCAATCCGGCAGAGAACTATAGTCAAGACATCGAAAAGACAACCTAACACCCTAGGTCTAGCCTAGCACACTATCTAATGTATCGTGTCCTAGCCACAATATATAAGTGTGTGCAGGGATATGTAAAAAGCGTAGTATACTTTTTGATGGGGTCGTCGTCCCTAACCCCATCCTAGGGATCTAAGGATTCTAAGAGGTGTCACTAAATTCTAGTTTTGTATGAAAGAAAGCTTTTAAAAGGTTTGACCTCATGCATGGTATAAGTTAAGGATGCAATAATTTTAAAGTAGGTTTTTAGAACATGAGGCATATGTAATAAAAAATATAAATTTTATACTTTTAAAATAAGTCCTAATAAGGAAAAGCATAAATGATACTTATTAGACTTCTTAGACCTTAGCACAACATACACATAATATTCATGGTGCAGTATCGAGTATTGCCCCACTAAGACATTCTAGTGGGTCGCTACCACTCCACAACTAATAACGGGTTAGTTTTCATTCCTTTCTCTTTTTATTTTTAAAGAAGTCGTTAGTTTGCTTATCGTTGTATACTTCTCTTTTTCCAAATAAGTCTCTCTTCTAGATCATGTGAATGATCAGGAGAAGAGAGTAACCTGAAAAAACACAGGCATACGACAAAGATGACAAATAAGAGAAAGAACATAAAGAGTCTACATGCGATAAACATCACAAGGATAAGTCAAGTATGTCTGCCTAAAAAAGATTGGGAGGAAGCACTTTGGATCAATATTCGCGAAAGAATACCTATGTAGACTACCCACAATTAGAGATTTAGGTGTGTTTGCCTATTTTGAGTTCTAGAGCTCCCAAGGGAATATATCCCACTTGGTTAATTATATATTTGGGGTTGCCCAATAATACTCTTGATCCGAAGAAGTTTTGCTTACAATAAGAGTGACAACTAGCATATGACTATCAAAGAATGGTTATTTCGCATGGAAATACTCAGATGCTTTTAAAGCTCCCACTAAGCAATATGGTGAAGAGTGAGTGCTCGCAGTCGCTACATGGGTAACGAACCCATCAACATATGGAGTCTGTAAAATAACTAAATCATCCAAATCAGGAATCCTGATACATCAAAACCCATTTAAATAGGTGGCAGCTCATCGACACTCAGGTAGCCGACATGATGCCAATGAAGGTAAAAGGAGAAACATGACTCAAAAGGGGTAGTCAAAAGAATGGGGGAGTAATCCCTAGAAGGTTGAGGTAGTCGGACCAGGGTATCGAAAACCCGTTATCCCAAGCTACTATGATCTTAAGTCTACCTGGTAGTTATGGTAGTCGACCCAACACGTCCAAAGATCCCTGGTCAGCAATCCATGAATTACGTCATCCGTGAAGACAATGATATCCCTAAGACCTTTAACTTTTATCTCAATATTTTATTATTAGGATTTTGAATAGAAAATGTATAATTTTAAGGTCTTCAATGGGCCTAGATTATAATTTTTGTAGCATTCAAGATCAACCAGAAAGAAATGGGGAAAACAATGAAAGCATTTAAACATGCAAGAAAAACAAGAAAACAAACCAAATATTAAATAATAAAAGGTCGGCAACATTGGGTCGGCGACACATCCTATAAAAGGAAGAAATATTCCCTCAGTACTACGCACCTTAAAATATTAAATAATAAAAGGTCGGCATCATTGGGTCGGCGACACATCCTATAAAAGTGAAAAAAGAAACCGTGACTTCACTTTACATGTATGATCCTAATTCTGTAGATAAATGGAATTTAGAATATGAGACGTGAGCAAACAACTCTCGTTCCTTGTCACGTTGTTTCGCTCATCCGACACATCGAAACCCGTGTCATACCTTATTTCTAATACAGACTCTTTTTAAAATTCTAAAAAGTACATCAGAAAAAATATGAAAAACTCGACCTGCATGAAGACAATGTTTTTGGGGAAAGCCAAACAAGCATGTAACATGTCTGGTCCATGTCTGATGGGGGAGCTAAGCAACACCAATAGAAAATAGTTAGTAATAAACATTATGTTGCTTCTCATTTTTATTGCACATGTGCGTTTTCATATATATGACATGACTCCTTACATAATAACGTCTTAGTATAACATTCAAGAGTGTTATTAAAGTGGAACCACAAATGTTATTTCGTGGTTATTAAAGTGAAATATAATTTTTTTTTCGATAATTCAAAATAATAAAGAAATAATCCCGAAATAATTCCAATAACGTTATTTCAAAGTTATTTAAATTACCAATACTATTTTAAGATTATTTTAGAAATATGCCACACTTCACAGTTTATTGCAGGAAACAGGGAGTCCGAAGTAGAGTCCCGACAGAAAATTTTTCCTAAAATATCAAGGGTTTTAGGAGGGGCTTTTGCCGCTCTATCCACTCCCCAGTTGCCATTGCTCCCATCAATGGCTTCCTGTGCTTCCTTTCTCCCAGTGCTTACATGGGAAAACCGCATTTCGAGGCAATATAAAGGAAGAGGAGAGCAGCATCAGACCAAGATTCCTCGTTTAATTGACCCTTTTTTCAATAATACGAGTTCCTCAAACTCCATCCCCAGCTTTGTTGCGCTAAATTCGCTCGATTCATCTCCATTCCCTCTCGGCTCAGATTCCTTGGAACCAGAGCTCAAATTTCCAACTGCCTTTTCGCACATGAAAACGCTTGAATCCCCTGTTATCTACGATCCAGTTGTTTTACAAGATGAGCGGATAGATTTTCCATGGCTGGGATATGATCGGTCCCTCATTTTGCCTGGACAAACCCTAGAAAGGATCTTCCGTACAGACTCTCTATGGATGCCGCGTTTTGATGATCTGGCGAGTGTTCGCGAATCATTGGATGTGGCGAGGAAGAAGTACAAATCTCTTAGGAGGAGGCAGGTGAAGGCTGAAACAGAGGCGTGGGAGAGAGCAGCGGAGGAGTATAAGGAGTTGGAGCGAGTGATGCTTGAGAAGAAGCTCGCTCCTAACTTGCCTTATGTGAAGTCTTTGTTCCTGGGATGGTTTGAGCCGCTGCGGAGTGCAATTGAGAAGGATGTGAAGCTGGAGAAGGGAAAAAGACATAAGGCGGCTTATGCACACCATTTGAGCCTGTTGCCAGCTGATAAGCTAGCGGTGATTGTGATGCATAAGATGATGGGGTTGCTGATGATGGGGCCAGAGGAGGGGTGCGTTCGGGTGGTGCAAGCTGCTATCCACATTGGAGAGGCAATAGAGCATGAGGTAAGTGATCGTCCTCTGTTTATCGATTAAAGTTGATAATTCGTGTTGCATAAAGTATGGGCGGATTGGGTGATAAGTTAAATATGAAACTTAGGGTCTGTTTGGGGCAGCTGCAGCTTATCCAGCTTCTGCTGATAAGCAGCTTATCCTGATAATCTGCTGATGACCAGCTGATCCGGATAAGTTGTTTGGCTGTTTGGTTAACGCGTCTGGAAAACAGCTGATTGTGAAAAATTGACCATTTTGCCCCTGTTCTGAATAAACAGTTTAGCTGTTTGGTTAGTGCGTTTTGTAAACAACTTATTTGTAAATTTTTTGAGTTGAATGAATAATCTGTGTAGCAAAATGTTATTTTCTCAAATGTCTAGAAATGAAAATGCAAAAAAATTTAATAATATTTATATAACTCAAAAAAGTTGTGATTACATCAAACAAACATAGTGATATATATGAAAGTTCATTACACATTTATGAAACTCTAATATGGATTATAGAAAGAACCAAAAAAAAGAAGAAATAACAGGTTAAAATTACAAGGAAAAATATGACAATATTGAGTTTAACATGTAAAGTCACATCATGACGAATGTTGCCCGTTTCTGCTACCTCAAATCCCCGAGCAAGCGTGTCTTGATGGGGTGCGGTGTACACGGAAGAACTCGAACCATATGCGGTGGTCTCCTGTTGTGGTACTGTCGAACTCCTAGGACCTGTGTCCAATTGGGATATCGTAGAAACAGTTGTATTGTCCGTCCACCTGAAGAATTTACCGTCTTCAGGTCTTTGTCCCCACCGCAGGCACCTGTAAAATTGTCTCCCGTAGCTATGTGTCTGGTGTGACGTTAATAGCAACGACGGTAGTCCACAACGACACATCACTTTCTCGGACTTCCCGGAATGTCTAGAACTCACAACAAATTTACGGGGCCGCCCAAACGGCCCCACCGTAATCCACCATAGAAGAGGTGAAGCTATTAACCAGCATAAAAAAACATATCAACATAAACAAATGCAAAAATAAAATGAAAAGTGTGTCGTGGCACACACACACACACACACACAGATAAATATAAATTTTTTTAAGCATTTCACTATTTTGTCATCTTCTACATAAGAAACGTCCAAGTTTCACAACATAGACACCCCTACGACAAAACCAGCACCTCAAAACCATTGACCACAGCCCATAGCCGCCATCCAATTTACAGCCCGCCCACTC